TGCGGCACCCCGACGCTCTCGGACGGCCAGCGAGGCGCTCCCCCTCGAGGCCGATGGCGAGGGAGGGGCGTCGACGTCGGCAACCACTGTTCAGTCGGGCGTGTCCCTCCACAGGAGGATTATTCACAGATAGTCAACAAATAGTACGGGGACGATTTTGCGATTGTTTTTTGACCAGTTTCGGGGCATGTTGTTTGAATCTTTTTGATTTTTCGCCCCGAATTTGCCTGTAGGGGGACACGCCCGACCTAAAGGTAAGCTGGAGAGCGCCCCTGACTCACCCCGTCCGGACCTGACTGGAAGCTCTCCTCGGCGGTTCAAATATGGTGTCCTGAGGGATGGGGTGCTAAGGATAGGAAGGACTTACGTTGCCTCAAACACTTCGTCCTTAGAACCCCATCCCTCAGGACCCCATCTTTGAACCACCGATCTCCCGAGTCGAGCCTGGTAGTCGCAGCGATCTGCGGTGAGCCGGGAGCGCCGTGGGTCGATCCACGGCGGGTAAACGCGCGCACGCCTGGGCAGGGCTGGCAAAGTCACGAGCAGCGGCCTGGGGCGTCGTGCTTCTGGCCCGCGGCTCCCCACGTCTCACGCCCGACTGCGACCTGTCACGCAGTTTGCGTCTCGCACTGTGTGGGCTTAGAGGCCGCTGTCGGATGCCATGCCAGGCTGAGGGACGACATAGGTCCGCTGACATCGCCACGCACGTGCCTACTACTGCGCTCGATCGAACGGGCCTGCGCCAAACTTAGGGTCGGCCGTAGGTCGGCCATCCAGGAAGCGACGGTACGGATGTGCTGCGCTCTTTCACGCTCGAGTCGCTCACGCCTGCGTGTTCGCGCGAGGGCTCCATTATTCTGGAGGCTTACGCTACTCCGCCAACCCCCCGAAGATGCGTGGGGTCCACGGTTGAGGCGTCGTGGGCTTCTTGACCGCTATGTGGGGACTCTTGTGGGCGTCCTGGGAGCTGCTTGGGGGCCTGGCGGAGCCTCTTGGAGGCAGCGTCACACCGTGTTGGGGGCCGCCTTGGGGCCTCTCTTGGGCCTCTGGGTGGCCTCTTTGGGAGCTTACTGGGAGGGCTCGTCCTCAGGCTCAGTGCGCCCAGCCTCTGGATTTGCTCTCTGCCCGCGACGGGCGTCCGCTGACTGCACAGAGTCTGGGGGTGCTGGGCCCCACCTTCTTCGCTGCCCAGAGTTAAGTTGGGCGTGTCCCTCGACAGGAGGAATATTCAAAAATAGTCAAAAATAGTCTGGGGACTTTTTTTTTGATTATGTTTGCTTTATTTCTGAGTACCTTCTTTTTGATTTTTCGTCCAAAATCCGCTTGTAGGAGGACACGCCCGACCTGAGCCTAGAGATCGGGGGTCCCACCGCATTCAGAACGCAGCAAGGTGCTTTCGGAGCTCGCCCTCCCCTCTCTGCATGTCCAAGGGGAGCGCTCAGTCCTTGCACATGTCGTACACGCCGGTCGTTGAAAGGAGGTGTTTGTGGATAGCCAGATCCCAATCCACTTCAGGCGCCTTCCTATTTCAAGGGTCTAGCGGTTTTCCCCCTTCCCTCCTCTTCAGGGGGTGGGCGGAGACCCAGTATACTTCCAACGCCTTCTTACTTCATGTTTAGACCCACTTATTCCAGCCGACGGGTATGCATATGTGATACTACATCCACTGTGCTGTCCGCAAGCACGCCACACAACATTGGGGGGTCCGTCTTCCTCTTCTTCTTCTTCTTCTTCTTCTTCCTTCTTTGCTGTGCGCCACTCGTCACGTGTACGGTCGAACCCCATGAGGACCTCGTGAGCGCCCCGTCCATGTGAACACCTGCCCCGTCCATCAGCTTGCCGTGTGGTGTGCCCAGGCGCAGTGCCAGCATTCGTGCCGGTGCTCGTGCAGCTTGCCCGTTTTCGCACTGATCAAAGTCGGACGCGGACGCCGCTGGTGACGCTTCCACGGCCCTGAGCGGCTCGCACAGAGTGGACCTTACGGCTGCTAGTCTCCAGCTTGCCAGCATGGGGTGCTCCATCCAGTAACATCTGCTGACAGCGAGGTGAACACCAACCTCCCGTGGTGTAACCGCAAGTTTCCCCCAGAACTCGTCACGTGACTTGAGCGTCGGTGACCCACCGTGCTCCGACCGTCGTATGGTAGACTGCGTCTCACATGGCCGCCCTCCCCTTGAAAGGACAAAACGCGTGGCACGTACGTGTTCCTTCCATGTGTCGAGAGTGTTGTCACGCATCATGCCAGTTAATATAAGGTCAATGGCGATGTCGGTAGACGACATGGTGATGACAATGACGAAGTATGTGATATAGTGTGACCGCTCGGCACATGCTTGGATGGCGCATGGTCTGCGCCTGCCACCACGTAAGTTGAGAACATGATACTCTGTGCGTCGTATGGCCACAGGTAGAAGGGGGTGCCGCCATGTCAGTGCAATGCTCAGCCTGGGACATGCGTGCCGTGTGCCGTTACGTTCCTGCTGTTTGGGCTGGTAGGGGT